AATATAAAAAATCATGTATTTAGTAATGCCCCATATTCATATTTTCTTGTTCTGCAAGAATGACAGAAATATCTTTGTAACATCAAATAAATCCTACGTGGCAACCTGCTATTAGTAGACAAGTGCATCCTAGTTTAACTCTACTGACATTACACCGGCAATGCATTTGGCCCATAGTAAACTGACTATACTCCAGATATGGCAGATTCTGATCCCGATACAGGCAAACATCAATAATGATGGATCACACTAATAACAGACTTTACAAATTCAATGAAGTATGGTAATATTTTCCAAAAGGAGAAACAGACAATGAATTGCAAGAAAAGACGTTTCTAGTCTTCACTTTCCCATTATATTCATTGTTTTTGAACCTCTATCAGTACTGTTTCCAGGATTTCTTTTAACCAGAAGTGGTTTCAACTCAAGATTGCAAATTAACTTATATAATGGTGAGAAAGGATGGGCCAAATAGGTCTACAAAAGTTTTGTTTGCTTTGAAGAACCAAAAGTCAGCCTGCAGCTCAAAGATTGTGCTGGATAATGAAAGGTAGGTTTTATTATGATCTAGGAGTCTATAAACTAATTCTAGATGATTGTTCTAGAGCAGCGGTTCTCAAACTGTAGATCGGGACCCAAAGTGGGTCACGACCCCATTTTAAAGGGGTTGCCAGGGCTGGTGTTAGACTTGCTGGGGCCCAGGGTCGAAGCAGAAGACTGAGCCCCACTGCCCAGGGCCAAAATCCCGGCGTGGCTGGGCTCAGGCTTCGGCTTCAGCCCTGGGCGGCAGGGCTCAGGTTACAGCCTCCCCTCCCCTGGGGCTGAAGTTCAACTTTGGCCTCCACACCCAAGGCAGCAGCTTTGGCTTTGGCTCCGCCGGCCTGGGGAGTCGGGGCTTGGGTGGGTTCAGGCCCAAGACCCTCCTGGAATCTTGTAATAATTTCTGTTGTCAGAAGGGGGTCATGGTGCAATGAAGTTTGAGGACCCCAGTTCTAGAGTAATAAGCCGAAGTTATCAAGGAAGCATTGCAGGTTCATCACTTGAGACAGGATAATTTTGGGGGAAAAGGTACATTTTCTCCCCCTTTTTTCTTATTGATATCAAAAAGTGACACTTTTGGGGAGTTTAACATTCCTGAAAAGAGAAGAACAAATTAAAAAGAGATGTGCAGTACAAGGTACACTAGAATAGGTATAACAGTATAGTTCTACTCTGAAAAGTGACTTGTAAGAATAGCATCACAAGGGTCCATTTCTGTTTCAGTAACTGCAGATTAAATCTGATGGTTTTTCTAAATTGTTAGTTTAGCCCTCTATATTCAATATGCAATCTGAAAGTCAAGATGTCTCCTTTCTGGCTCATGCTCTGCCAACAGAAATGTTTATAAAGTTCTGTTTGTGGATATTTATTTTTGGTAATGTGAGTCACAATATCAGACAATCCACTCTCCAGCTAGATTGACTCTACAGTGCTAATAGAAAGTATAATAAATTCTTATTATGGTCACCAGTGTGAATAGGGATGGCTCTAATCCAGTAGTTTTCAACCTATTTACCATTGTGGGCCACATCCAATACTACCTGTATGGCCCTGAGGATGTCAAATGGGCCACAGCTCTGTGCTGATTGGCTGCAAACGGCCTGCAGGCTGCAGGTTGAGAACGACTACTCTAAAAACCCCCACAAAGAACATATATGAAGATATATATAAAATAGGATGATATTCTTACCTTGTCACTTTCTAGAATAGAACCACGTTAGCATCTTCTGCCAAAATAAGGATTTTTATTTATTTATTTATTTTTGTAAAAATTGATTAGTCATTTGCTTCCAAACTGGAAGTCAGTCTCCGTCTCTGTCTCAGGTGAGAGACACATGAATATCCAAAGCAGAGTCTCCACACATTATTTATACCAGGTTCTTATTAAACGTGAGAAGGTTGTATTGTTCTGAGAATGCAACCTTAATTTTGTAAAATCAATGCACTGCTGTCGTTAGTCTGCAAGCAGACTGAAGTAATCAGACAAGCAGAGGCATGACCTTCCCATTTATTCCTATTCATGCGGCGTTGACTTCAAGACATAGTTATGACTACTTAAATGTTAATACATCTAGCCAAGATAACAGTTTCCAGATTTGCTTTTGATCCAAAAGTCTCTTGTGCGTGCACACAGACCAATGTGCCAAGTTTTGGATAACTAGTTCAACTACGTGCTATAGGAAGAAGACATCTCATAATATAACTGTTGACACTAAAACAAAAACAATCAAATACTAACACCAGTCCCATGTCAATTTCATCAAAATTAATATACCAGTTTATATGCGAATTTAAAAACAAACAGGGTCTAATCTTGCACTTGTTCTGGAGTATCTGTGGAGGGTTAAGTGATGCTTTGGTAGTAATTTAGTTGAGCTCCACCAACTCCTCAGCCCCACCCCAATCCACTCACCACAAAGCATGTACAAATGTAAACCTTAAAAGAAAGATGGGGAAAAGGAACACTAGAGATGGGTCCATACAGCCACAAACAAACACTTGTCTGCCTATTGGTCTTGGGGACAAATTCCTTTGAGATACATTTCTTCTCTTTCCTGTGCTATGTTCGGTCACCAAAATATGATGCAATGTCCTGTTAACACACGACCTCCTGATTGCCATGATTACTGATCATTCTCATTGTATGATCTACATTAACCACAGACTTTCAAGTTTTCTATCTTAGTCTTTTATAAGTAAATTTATTATAGTAATGGCTCAAATTTTAAACTATCATAATATTAAACCAAGAATCTAAATAAACCGTGTACATAAAATTCACTAGAACTATGTATAAAGGATGGATTTTCTTTTGCCTTTTCCCACCCTGAATTTTCTCTCTTTTCTGCATTTTAAATTTAGTTGCCTTGAATACATAATATAGATTGATTCTATAGACCTGATCCTGAGAGTGCTGAGCATACTGAGCTCCCAATGAAGTCAATAGGGCTGGAGGACTTTCTTCGGAGATGCTTACCACATCGCAGAATTAAGCCCCCTTTATTTTTACCATATGTATAACCTGAACTGAGAAATTACCTTGTTTATTTCATGTCTGTGTCAAAAAATGTACTACTACTATTCATGTCACGTGCTATCTACCTTATAGTTGTCAATCATATCTGCTTTGAAAGTCACAGGCCTGTCAAACATATCTGTTGTCAGAGAGGCAACACTACAAAAATCACTATGCCGTTATTTTAGAAAACATTAGGGAGCAAAATCATGAATATGCAAATGCTGTTTGATTACAAAATTACATTAGAGTCTTATGCACAAACTTGTTATTTCAAATTAAAAACTTTGGGAAATCAAAATACTCTAGAGTTGGCTTTTATTGTCAAGATAGTTTAAGACAATTATTTTAGGTATAGTAATGAGGGGTTTCATCCAACCCAAATATTTTCAAACCTTTTTTAGTTGTTTTTTTTTTTTGTTTACATTGGGGAGTAGATTTAAATGCACCATAGTGTTATGAACCCAAACACAACAACATTGTGCTAATGCACGAAAACTAAAGAATGAAAGTGAACTGAATAATGAAAGTGAATTTTCATTCTCAATGTGCTCAAGTTTTCACAAAAAATACATTTTCAATAAATGTTTGGTTTTACAACTTTGATACACTGATGCCTCTTACAGTTACTGACGAGACACCTACTGGACAGAAGAGTAAACCCACTAGCCAGATTCAGATATGAAAGACAAGAAGGGGACTCCCATCAGCAAGGTCCAAGGGCAAGAACCTGGTAAGAAGCCCTGTTCCCCAGCAGCTGCAAATAGGGCAAGCAATGATATCTCTACTAGGGTACTTCCCCAGAGGCTTCCGAGGCTCTATCTTTTATGATCAGCCTCTGGCATTAGATGTCTGATAAATCTAAAGCTCCACCCTCCTCTGGCTGCTGGAAGGGAAAAGGAATTTTGTCTCTTCTTGCCTCACCAGAGCCTCCAGTCTGCTGCCAGACGGTGGGTCTGTGCTACTCTGCTCCTCCCCAGTCCCTGTTTTTAGGACCTCCTTCCCCATTTCAGTTCCTGTTCTCCTTGCTGCTCATAGGAATCATGCTCGTGCATGAGAAAGCTAACAGCTTCACCAACGCCACAAGTTTCAGGATAGCAAAAGTGAAACTGAGCTGTTAATTTCACGCTGCTACCATTGCCACTGGGCAACCTGCAACCCAGCTGCAGAAGTATGGAGCTGTCCCTGAAAAGTGAGGAAGACAACAATGAATCCAGTTTATATTCAGTTCACATTTGTAATGCTATCTTCTTTGTACTCATAACAGCAGAAACATCTCTTTCTCCTCAAAAAAATAAAGCTTATTTTCTACAGAAATAGATGGTTTTAACTCATTATTTCTTTTGAAACCAACATCTACAAATACAGAAATCTGACCTTTCATGCATACATCTTGCTCATCAGAAAAGCTTACACAAATATATTAGTGGTGCACTCATCTAGAAACAGGCAATGAATCTAAACTGGATCATATTTATCCATTTATGTCATCACAATTTATCTCAGTCCAATTGTTCATTATTCATTCGTAGCCAATGTGCATTTCAAGGTGCAAAGATAAAATTCTGACAATTTAAAAAGCTGAACTAAAAGAAGACAGAAAACATTAACAAATAAATTATTTTGGATCGCCAGTTAATGTTCTTTTTACGAATCACACATTTAAAAAAAAGTAATTCCCCTCTGGGCTTTAAGAGTTTATCAATCATTGGCACACAAACGTTACAATGTAAGGGAATCTGCTCTTAATGCAGTGACTTCAGAGCAAAAGCAAATCTTTTTGTGATTTGGATTAGTTCTCCACCTGAAATCTATAGTTCAGCAGTTTAAAATCTATAAATTACAAAGAGACCCTATCTGAGATCATTCCAAAAAGATTTCTGACTACCTAGGTATTCTGGTTTTCTTGCAAATTTTATTCATTTACCACAATAGTATTACTTACTCTCCATCTACTTCTGGTCGGTTGCACACACAGTGAAACTTGCCACCGAAATCTATATAAAGATCATCTTCTACAATGTGGAAGATTTGACCAAGGACAATTTTGTCTTTGGCAGGCCCCATCTGAACTAAAGGAGAGTGTCTCAACATGGATGCAAAGGATTCCACGTTCTTTGAATGCACCTACAGATAAATATAAAAAAGAAAAAATGTGATACATATATTTCTATACTTAAAATGCAACTGATGTCTAAACGAAATACTAAATCTTATTTTTAATGTATAAATAAGAGCCATTCACTACAATACAATTCAAGATTTCATGTCCTTGGCACACTTTTTGTAAATTCTCTCCTTTTGAGAGGATTTCAGTTATGGTATATTATTTCTCTGATCCAAAACATTTCACGTATTAAAAAGGGCAATATTTTAATAGTTCAGCTATACAGTATAAAGATGATAAATAATACTTTGCACCTATGTAGTAAGGCATGTCTTCAAATTGTTCTATAAACATTAACTAATCAATAACTTAATAAAATAATGTAATAGTTCTTTAAAAGGTATATTTCCTAATTGATATGATCTACTTGCATGTAGAACCTCATTAAAATTAGATTTTAATTTACTACATTTTGCTTCCTCATTGAAAATGCACTCAAATACATTTGGCAAGACATTATCAAAAATTAAAAAATAATTACAGTCAGTAATTTAGCTTTTTGGCTTTTGTATTTAAATAATAAAAGGAACAGTCCAAATTACGGATTAATGTTCAGAGCTTTTTTTTTTTATTAACACCCACATATAAACATGGAAAATATTTCATCGGAGTAATGATTTGGAAGTACATATACAAACTTGATTTTTTAAAACACCCATACAGCAGTGAGTCTCAAACTTTTATATTGGTGACTCCTTTCACACAGCAAGCCTCTGAGTGTGACCCCCATTACAAATTAAAGAACACTTTATAAAAAATATTTAACGCCATTATAAATGCTGGAGGTAAAGCGGGGTTTGAGGGTAGAGGCTGATAGTTTGCGACCCCCCATGTAATAACCTTGCGACTCCCTGAGGGGTCACGACCCCCAGTTTGAGAAGCAATCTCTACGGCAGGGGTTAACAACACCTTTTTTTCCTCTCTCATACACCAAAATCTCAAACAAAACACTTGAATTCAAGTGCCTACTGGCAAAATACATAGAACACTATTTTTTCCCCTTGAAGACAATTGGGGACCACAAATCCTCCTCCTCAAGCAAAAGGAGACCTCCCCCTTTTCTACTTGGTTTCAGGGAGACCTGCTCCCCTAAGTCCCCAATCTGTCTCAATTATGTCTGATAACTAGTGTATTTTCTTGAGTACACTCATCCATGGATTTTAATAAACATCTCTCTACATCCAATTAAAAACAATAACTGAAAAATACATCTCTGTGAAACTGAGGTACTTTAGCTGCCATCTGTGATGGCTGATGCTAACTGAGCATAATGTGACTGACATGAAAGATCTGGAAACAAGACAAGAGCATTTAACTGTACAGTTACAGCTAATAATTCAGCCATCAGTGACAATACATAATCAAGGAGTAAAACACTCAAAGGAAAAGTCTAAGAGAATTTAGACCAAACAGTAAATACTCAACTCTATACACAGGGTATTATGTACCTAAATATTCCAAGTAAAAGGCTTTAATCTTAGTATTAAGAAATGAAAGCCTTAAAATACCTAGATATACCATAGTCAGAAAGAAGCAGCATTTATAAAAACAAGACTAACTACTAAGATACTAAGTTTGGTTAATTTTAAGATGGATGCCTATGAAATACAATAACAGCCTTTTTCTGGGAAGCAAGAGAATTTGTGGAGGGATGCGTGGGTTTTTGAGACACTACCTCCCAGAAACAGAAAGTGCATGAAAAAGAACATTTTTATTCATAAGTTGCAAAGACAGAACACATTAATCAATTGCTTTTTGGAATTTAGCAATTATTACCTTAACAGAATAACTTCTTTATATAATTTCAGCCGCTGATTTTTCTAAGCCAAGGCATATGGGCTCCTAATCTCAATGGAACGGGTAATAATCAAATAGCCAAACCATTAGAGTTTTTGTTGATGTTGGAGGAGCATTGCTTTTCAGTAATTTCCTGCTTTTTTTTTTAATACATAGCATCAAAAGTCTCAAAGCTACTAAATGCTATTAAAATTATAGTTGCATCACTTTTCTCTATATAGTGGGTCAATCCTGAAAGGTGCTCAGAATGGCTCAACCCATGTGATGTTAACTCCAATGGGATTAGGGGGCACTCAGAACCTCACAGGAGCTCAGGGCCTTGCAGGATAAGGATCAATATCTAGAAAGCTTGGGTGAAACTCATTGCTGATGTAAGCAGTGAGGGAATTATACCTACTTCCATCTGTAGTGAAGTTAGCCCATGTGCCAGTCATTTTAAAATGGTAAATAAGACATTACAGGCTCTAACATTTTACCACCTTTTATATAGTCTACACAATGTAGTCTAAAATATAGAGTACCACTGGCTACAGACATCTATGATACTATTTACCCTTTGCAGCGGGAAATCTAATCTCTTCATGCCAAGGAACTAACCAAACAACCTACTGACGCATCAGCAGTAATGTGTTTTAATTGTTACAAGAGACTGTAGCACGAGACACAAACTATTCAATCAGAAAACTAAAACATTTCAAACTACTTGAAACCATATAGTATTTAATCAAAGAATCAAAAGCATGCTTAATGAGAAGCAAAGATGTTTCTACCTCATAACTCTTAACAGATAGTTCTGTGTTATTCATCAAATATGACACTATAAAAAACACACATACCCAAGTCTAAACTAAACAGATGCTGAAAAAGTTAGCAGCCACACAGCAGTAATCATATAGCGAGAACAGTGCCATCATGTTCTATCTGTAAATTTGGCAACCTCATTTCTAATAACGTCATAACAAAAAGGGATAGTTTTGAATTCCGACTTACTGGAATGCACAAACAGCTTGGGTTGTCCTGACATAGCAAAACCTCAGGAATTGGAAATTGAGCTAGAGATCTGACGCCTGCCAAATCTGCTGACTCAGAAACTACCAATGTAAACAGTAGCACCCCAGGACTCTGACTAGAATACTTTTAAGCAATTGTGTATAAAAAACACCTATTTACCAAGAGATAGAAGTAGCTGTTGATACGCCACCAGCATAAGTATCCTGTATAAAAACCTCCTGCTTTACAATCACTAATGCACACTTTTTTTTCAAATTTAGACATGTACAATATAAACTAAATTCAACTGGGTAAAGTAAATTAATTTTACAAAAGCACTTACAGTGCTTCGAGAATAAAAGCCAGATTCAATTGGAATGCTGACAGCAAGCATTAACAATTTGTATTTCTTCAGGTGATACGGCAATCTAGGTAATGCTTCACCTAATCCTCAGGCTGCCCTACATGCTGCTCAAATGACACAAACAAACATCTAAAATGAATCATCCTAAAAATCCTATAAAATAGATTATTGCATTTGAATCCTCATATCTAAGTAGTAAAAATTGTCTAAGGTTCTGCTTGTTAAAGTATTTTGAAGGAAAGCACAAATATAATTTCTTGCACTTTTTAGCACCTTAGAGACAATGCCAAAATCTACAACGAGTACTGACTGACCTCCCCATTAGACTTTAAGAGCATTGGGTAAAATGTTCAATAGCGTCAAGTGACTTAAAAACCTAAGTCCAATTTTCAAAAGTGACTTAGGAATTTAGGAGTCTATGGGAGGCTAGGAGAGGTATTTACAACTTTGGAGGTGTATCCACTCTTATTTTGGCATTTGCACTCAATACTGAGCTACTAGGCTCAGGTAATCTTTGAGTTGGAATGCAGGCTGAGCCCTGGAACAGGAAATCCTATCTGCTTGGACGATGGTTTGGCAGTCTCTGTGGCAACTCTACTAGGTACTTAGCCTACTGACTTCTTGGCCAATTTGGGATAATCAGAATGGCTATCATTTGCTCCAGTTTGATATTTTGAATTATTCTCACCAGCAAAAACAAGAAAAAGGGATGTATAGAGGCATATTTGGTTATCTGCTTGGCTGACGAAGAAGAGCCTTGTTTTCACGTTTCAACTGGATATGAATAGGCCCACCTGCGGCATGGCCTCACTTCCTGGACAGGAATTGGAATACTTCTTGATACAGAAACCACTGAATTGTCCATATGCTGGTGTCTTAGCTGCTTTTGTGTTCACTGTCTCTTTTATGTGGATCCTCCTGATGGAGGCTCAGTGTCACTGCATCCATGGAGGATCTTTGATTTGTGTTTAGACTCAAGCTTCTTTGTCCCCTTGCCAGACAATGGTATACCAAAGTCATTGTGTTGTCTGACCCAGAACCTGCTCCTGCAGGTGATTCTGAGGGCATGTCTACACAACGATAAAAACCCTTGGCTGGCCTGGATCAGCTGACTTGCGCTCTTGGGGTTTGGGCTCCATGGCTGAAAAACTGCTGCATAGACATTTGGGCTTGGGCTGCAGCCTGAGCTCTGGGACCCTGCAAGGCTGGAATGTCCCTGAGCTCAGGCTCCAGCCCAAGCCTGAATATCCATTCGGTGATTTTTAGCCCCTCGTCCCAAGCCCAAGTCAGCGGATCCAGGCCAGCTGCAGCCATGCCACAGGGCTTTTATCCCTGTGTAGACATACCCTGAAAGTCCCAGTGGCTACCCTTAGCACTCTCATCTCTAGAAATTTGATGCTCTGAAGCCTCAATGATCTCAAGCATATTGCCTGTGTATTATGACATCCCCAATGAGCTCCCCGCCTGACATCTGTGATCAAGATTTTGGGGACTGTGAAGGGAAAATTCATAATATTAATATCATATGGGCTTTCCGTTTTCACAAACGGAGGGAAATGGGTCACTCTGGATAATATCTTCATTCTTCTAAGCATCTCTTGCAGGAAATAGTTTAGATCCTGAAGCTCTCTTATGTGCAAGCTTGCCCTTGAAACAGGCTTTATGCATAAGACTGGAAGCAGCAGAAGCTGCAGGTAAAGATGGATGGACAAACTCGGTTCCTTGACACCATGGAGATCAACATCTGGGTCTCATCGAACCTTTGCTGTGCCAAGAAGCCTCTCTCTTTTGGACCTATTTTGACTTCTA